ATATATACTGTCCATAAATTTACACTTATTTTATAGTGGGTTTATATATGGATTTTTATGTTATCTATAGTTATATATACATCATATTATATAAATTATAATTATACTACATAAAAGAAATTATATTATATAATAAATTATATTTAAATGAGTTGTACTCAGTATATAATAAATTATAAGTATACAAGAGATTTTCAGTATATATATATACATGATTTATATATGCTATATATTAATATATAATTTATATTTCTATAATGTATTGTTTAGATGAATAATAATTAGTATAAATAAGTTTGCAATGACTTTTGAAATACGTCTAGTTGAAGTGATAAGGACTTTCATCAACAATATAAACTATATATATAAATACACATAAACATATCTACATACAAATAAACATTAAACAACTATTGAAGATGATGGTATTATTGAAGTATGTAAGTTGTATACAAACATATAAATGTATGAAATGCAGTTGTGTATAAATAATAATTGCATATATGTTGAAATTAAAATGAATGTATTATCTGTATGTTTATATGCAACCTATTATATATATCTAAAAAGTAGTTTCCCCATAAACATAATTCATAATGCCTGTTGAAGAAATAAAAGCTCCCAGGAGACCTAACCGACACTTGGCCCTAAACACAAACTTTCTACTCAACTTATGTCTCATTTTGTGAATATCTTTACTCCTAAAGGAGGAGTATAACTAGGTCCATTATTGGTAACTTTACAACTTTCAGTGTAAATCTTTTATTTTTATTTCCTATACTTTTTTTTTTAAGAGATATGGACTTGCTGTATCTCCCATGCTGAAGTACAGTGGTGTAATCATAGCTCACTGCAGCCATGAATTCCTGGGCTCAGGTGGTCCTTCCACCTCTGCTGGAACCACAGGTACTTGCCATCATGCCAGCTAATTTGTTTTTAATTTTTGTTTCCTTGTGGAGTTGGGCTCTCTATTGTCCAGGCTAGATATTATGAACTGTTTAATATAATATAGGTTTGGTGAATGATGGGAATAATAAAAGAAAAATAACTAATGAAAAATCACATTTCTGCCTCTCTATACATAATGTTTATATAATATTATGAAATGTTTTATACTTGTATGAAGACATTGACAAGTATTGCAAAGATAAATGGAGAAATATATATTATATATATTTGAACATACACATATATATCTATTTACTTTTATCTAATGTGTTGCAATGGCTGAGGAAAATATTTTGTGTAAGGACTGTTCCTTAAACAAAGTTATATGTTGGCATATTAGCAATATATGTGTATATGACTGCTGATACACACTGCATTCTTATCACATAGCTTCAGCCATGAGGACATATTGTCTCATTTAGGAAAAGGGTTAACAATAATATATTTTGTTTGTGAAAACATGCATTTATTGTTGTGATATTTCCCATCTAACCCATTTATAGAGTTATATTCATAGTAAGCAGTAAGTGTTGGAACAAGTTAAAGACACTCGGTTGCAATCAGTTTTCCTCTGCACCCATCCTCCATGCTTCTGAGACTACAGTTCCATGCTGAACAGCTCTGAATGACTATTGAGTCATATGGCTACCCAGTTCTTCGACTTGCCTATCCTCAACTTCACAGCTACCTATTATTGGTGTTGTAATTCTAAACATGGAAAATGGCACCGCCACATGCACCACAGCCATCATGACAGAACCAAGGAGGCCTTTTCCATACTTGGCAAAAATAAACCATAACTCACCATAGCTTTTTTTAGCAGTGCCAATACACTTTTACTAATTTCAGTCCATTAAAAAAAAATCCATAAATGAGTAATGCAACTTGAAACAACCCAGGTTATTTTTCATTTTAACTTACTTGACAGGCTAAGTTTAACACCTGAAAAAGATGCTGTTAGCAAAATATGTGTCCCCTCTCCCCAGTCAAAGCACAGAAACAACCAAACAAAAACAAAAAATGAGCCTGAATGAACGGTACTTGTAGGACCTGGGAGAAATGCTCACAAATATTAATAAAATCACATATCTGGGGTGATGACTTTGAGACTTAAGGCTATTTTTTCACTACTCTTTCTCTAATTGACTGGGCAAAAGGTGTACCTTTGATTTAAAACTGGTATCTCAGAAGTTTAAGTAGTCAGTGGTGGCTATACACAAAGCACACTCAGTCTGAATATCCCTTCACATAATTAAGTAGGAGATAAAGTCTCTCCTCTGAAAAACTACAGAACTCAGACAAAAACAAAAAAAGAGCAACATATTTAAACTAAACTGAACATATTTTTCCCATTTGGGAATAGAATACATACTTTGTAAGTCAGAAAGCAGTATGGAAAAAATACATTCTGGTTTACAAACTAAAATTTTGTCTCTTACCCTTGGCATTCACATCCTAAGACCAGCTCTCACCATATTTGAAATGTAGGTATATTTTAAACAGATAAGCTGGTCTTCAGAAGGATAACATTAAATAACTTAAAATAGTTTCATATTGCTACTTCATTTGAAAGTAATATTTGCAACTTTCTTAACAAGTTGCATTATTGATGACATTCAGAGTTTCAGGAAACGTCTGAAGTGTGGAGTACCAAATAAAATGGAATGTTAAACAGAGACCATTCCTTTCTGCACTTGAATGTTTACTTTTCTAAGAACCTTTTTGTTATGGTCTGGAAATAAAAGCAGAGTATTCCAGAGACATTTTAAAGAGACCCCTGCACTTTTGATAGTAAGTTCAGGTATGGAATCAGTTAGAAGTCTGGTCTTTGTGGAGAGGCTACAAGCTTTAAACCAATTGCCACCCAAAAAAACAAAAAGTCAATTTCATAAATCTTGCAAAAATCTGTATACTTACCATTAAGTCTATATTGCAGGCCCCAAAGTATGAAATTTCAATTCCTTCAAGTCTGATTACTTCAACATTTTGTGCATCAAGACAATTTCATTATCTATATTATGTAGTCACCAATCCATTATGAAGTAACTGTTATATTCTTAGTTAGGGGTAAAAATCAGCCAGGTTACTTATTTTGGGGCCTAGTGTATATGCAGCATTAGTTTATTTAAAGAACAGACAAAAGCAAAAATTCTTCCAGAGAAGAAGAAAAGAGCAAAGTATATTTTTAAAAATTGAAAAATTAAAAAAAAAATCAAGCCTCCCATTTGATTCCAGTGATTTAAAACTGATGAAGTAATTTTCCACTTTCTACAATGGCCCTGATTATGTTCTGACATGTCAAAGATACACTTTAAAATGGCAATATATACATATGTATATATATACACACACAGAAATACAGTAATCATGTGTATGTAGCATGCATTCATTACATTGAGTAATAAAATACCAAATTTCTAATATGAGAAAATACATGCTCAGAGAGTTCTCCACGAAATTCTAATATTCTTAATTTTAGTATATACAGAAATTCCTTTTTTTTTTAAATACAGGAATTAATGCAACCATATGTCATTAGTCATCGTGCCACTCCCTGAATATTCTGCTCATTTCCACAGGAAAATGTATGCTGAGGATTTAATGTATTGCTGCTAACATTCCACTGAGAACTAAAGGTATGAAATAATTTTGCTGTCTCAAAATATGCCCACAGAAAACTGCAGATTTCTTTGCGATCTGATTTGTACCCAGTTCTGGCATTCTGTAGGAAAAGGCTGAGTGCCTCCACTCAAACCATGCAGGTCTCTTGCAGTTTATGCCGCTTTGTTCTCATGAAAATCAGGTGTTTGCACCCGGAAGCTACTCAGGATTTCTGAACCACACAGTTCTATGTTCCTGCAGAACGCCCACACAAACTGGCAATTCTGCTTTGTGAGGAAGGAGGCCTACCAAAGTGTTTTTCTGTTGTTTTGTTTTGTTTTTCCTTTTTTTAAAGTGTTTTGGTTTTTGCCTCCCTTATATCACAGGAACGGCTAATTGTGAAATGGAATCTCATGCACATTATTCCCTTTTAAAAAAATATAATGCCACGCGTTCCGATGTAAACACTATGGACAACAGTCGTTTTCACAAAGAATAAAATAGGAGGACACACAGAGACGAGGACACAAAGAGACACACACATACACAGATACACAGACACACACACAAGTGCCAAGCGTGCATCTAGGATACACACACACACAAAAATAAAAAAATAAAAGAAAATGAAAAAGTAAAAGCCATACTACCATCTTGTGTATTCAGCTCTCAAGGACATCAGCTACTTAGTTTAAAACCCTTACTCAATACCCAATGCATATTTATTCAGCTGGGTACGAACGACTAAGATGGATCATCCGTGGTGGCTTCCTGAAAGTCGTCCAAGCAATGGTCTGAACTCCTGAAGCTCTTGCCCAGCGCTCGCCGTAGCTGGAAGCACTAGTGCACCACCGGGGCCAAAAGGGAGCCGCCACTTACTGGGCCCGATTCATTCTGTGTCCTGTACCCCTCCCCCGATATCTTACCAAGAGAAGTAGCACATACACGCCCATGCACTGCGAGAGGGAGAGAGCGAGAGAGGGAGAGAGGGAGAGGGGGAGAGAGAGAGAGAGAGAGAGAGAGAGAGAGAGAGAGAGAGGGAGGGAGGGAGGGAGGGAGGGAGGGAGGGAGGGAGGGAGGGAGGGAGGGAGGGAGGGAGGGAGGGAGAGAGGGAGGGAGAGAGAATAAGTAAACAACAATAACAACAAAAGACTTATTGGGAAGGGCAGGGGTAAGTTGCCGAAGATGACCTCCGGGTGCCGCTTGCCCAATGTGAGGGCCATTCGTTTACACGATGGTGTGGGTCAGGCCTACACAATGCAAGGGTTGGTGTGACCACCCCCTCTCGCGCCCCAGTTGCTCTGGGAAGAAAGGGCACTGTGTCTGGTGGCAAGCAGGCTCCCGAATGCTGCGCTCGGGCACATATTTGCGAGGGGCACAGGGTCCGGATCTCGGGGTCTCAATGGTTAGGGCACAGCCGAGGACACCCCCACCAAAGGACCGCAGCCTACCGGTTCTCCGAGGGCGAAAGAGGCAGGTCTGGTTGGGGTAAGACGAAGAGGCATCGGCGTCCACAACAGCAACCGAAGGATTAGAGTGTCGCTGAAAGAAGTGACTGGCCTCGTGGAAAACCTCAGGGAGGGTGCCACCGCGGTGTAGAGGTACTAGGCCAGGACTTCGGCCTCTCCTGCCACAGCAACACCCCCACGTACGCATCACCTACAGCCGACCAGCACCTCCCTCCCTCTCCCTACCAAATTCCTGTCTGCCATTTAGCAGGTCACGCCACGCTGATACGGGTGCGGGTTAAAGAAACCCCATCGGTGGTCATAGGTAGCAGGTGGGGCTGAATTTCACTCTGCCACTGAGATCTCGCAGTCTGTAGCTCACCCCTTCCAGTCTCTCACCGGTGAGGCTGAGCACTTCTGCAACTTCCCGATTAGTTCCTCCCACAGGAGGGGGAGGGGATAGAACACAGCCGCGCGGGAATTCAGAGGCGGCTGGGAACTGGGGGAGACACGTCCCCCCACACTCCTAACCCACACGTAGAGTAAGGGGTGCATGGCCCCCACTCCTGTGCAGGGGCATCTTAGAGATAACGTCCTTTCATCTTTACACGAGGTATCCACCACGCCTGGATGCTTCCCAGCCTAAGAATGCTCAATTACTTTCATAGTTTGCTGGGTCCCGCAAGCTTCATCTTACCCGACCCAAGGACTTGAAAAACGGAAAACGCATAATTCAACCCCAAGCAAATTTGTTTTCCCTTTTTCTCTTTGCTTAACCTCACCACTATTCACAACTTGATCCTCCCCACTCCGCCAAAAATAAAGCACCCTAGGCGTCAGTAGCTGACACTCTTTTTAAATAAGACTGTAAGACTGGAGTGCTCCGGTGGGAACAAAAGAAAATAAAAGCCACCTATGCTCACAGTTTGCAGAAGTCCTTCTGCCTTTACCAGCCCTGGCCGCTTTGCTATTTCTCTCACTGTACTGCAGATACACACAAACATATATATACATATACATACATACATACATTTTTTTATTGTTGTTTTATTGTTTTTCTGCTCTCTGTGGCATAGTCTTTGTTTGTTTATTTATACGGAAGGCAGCACTACTTTGTAAACACATGGCACACAGCGCCAGAGCCGCTCAAATAGCTGATGGCAGCAAAACTCTTCCAAACAAAGGTACACTGGATTTTTCTCTTTAAGTGCAAATAAAACCAAACGTTTCTGCATGTAAACGCCGTACATAAACGTCCACACCCCCACCCACACCTAAGAAATGAAAGGAGGGAGAGGAGAAAATCCTCTCCAAATTTTCAAAAAATTATGAGAATCATGAAAGGAAAAAAATGAAGATCAACTGAAGTGAAGCTCAAATATCCGCAGTGAAACCTTCCATCCTTTACTGAAGAACCACTACAAGTCAAAATGTGTAAATGTCTCTTTAAATAAGATGAATAATACCTACCTTGACTGTGGAAGAGCTACACTGGCCGTTAAGAGTTCTTTTCACATCTAGATTTCTCTAGGTAGGATGAAACGAGCTATGATTCAGGAGTATTTGTTGAAAGCTCAGGCAATTTTCCATTCTGGAATCCCTCAGCTAGATTAAATCATCCAGAGAAATGCAAGAGCCACCACCAACTGCTGGGTTTGGAGGAAATTCATTCTTTCTGCCATCAATAGTGTGTCCCCAGGCAGAACAAGCATTACAATTGAAGCAGGAAGGGCTGAGCTAGTGGCTGAATAAGAGCTCTGTGCTAAGAGATAGAGAGGGGAGAGAGACTGTTCTTAAAGGAAAGAGAGATAGAGGAGAAAGCTCCTGCTGTCTCTGGTGCTCTTCCTCTTCATCCGGCCAAACTGAATGAAATTTACAAAACCAACAGCCAATACATCTCCTGAGTCGGCTTCATCTCTACAGAAACCACATCCGCGGCTACAACCTCATGCAAAGAGCAGCTAATCTCAGTGCAAACCAGCTGTAACGGAGAGATTCCAGGTACCGGGGAGAGAGCAGGTGGGCATGGCACATGGTGCCACCATACCAGAGGCACACAGCAAACCTTTTTTCTCTTTGCTTTTATAGGACTCTCTAGGTACCCTCCACACCAAACACACTGCAGTATATGCAAACATCTTTCACTATTTAAGGTCACGATCTCAAACAGCCTCTAGGTCTACATTACTGTGATTCATGTAGGAAGCAATGACATTAAACAATTTTTAGCACAGCAAAAACTGGCATGCAGTTCTGTAAAACACAGGATGTCTTTTATGCCCAGGGTATGGTTGAGAGGTGTTGGATGTAGGGTTTTTGTTTACTTGTATTCTTATACTTGGTTTTGATAAAAACAATGGAGGTGTGCCAAGGATGACACATTTGCTTTTAAATATTCCTCATTTCTCAGGTCCAGCAAGTTATTTTTCCCAGGGAGTTTCAGGTTGCACGAGTGAGGAGGAGGGTATGAGTCCTATGTTTAAGACTGTTGTTGGAGAAAATTGGCACTAAATGGCCAATGCTTAAAGTTCCCCTATTTAAAGCTGGGTTGGAGAAATTTGAATTTAAAATGGCAATGCAAAGCTCAGAGGACATCATAGAGTGTTGTGGCAATGGACACAGATTCTAAAATGAGATTGCTTCCATTCAAGTTGCATGTGACCTTAGATGTGATTTTGAATGGTTTGGCTCCTTTTCTGCATCTGTAAAATCAAACAGATAATCATCATGTAATATTGTTTTAATGATTACCAGAGTTAATGGGGCCTGGAAATCTTCACAACATTACATGGTGCTTACTTATATTCTGTCTGGTCATAAAAGTTAGGTTTTCCTAAAATTATTTTATGACACAGTAATTCATATATATAAGGAAAAAAGATAATGTCCCCAACACATAGGACATTCTCCTGATTGCTTCTGTTTTAAGCAGCAAACTTAATTATAAATTCTGCCATGATGATGCAAAGGATTATTGGGCAGCATGACCAATAATGGAGAAGATGATGGACACCAATTCAGGGACCTTGTTTCATGTTAAGACTCTATCCTCACAAACTATGCCCTATAAAGTCAATTATATTTTGTGGTTCTGTTGAGCTGACATTAATATTACCTTTCCTGTGGGTTTCATTTTCTTGTGAGGACTAAATGAGATAATATGAAAGCACCCTTGGCCAGAAAGATAGGTACGTAGATATACATGTATCTATTAATAGACATCTATACTAAATAATAGAAAAATGTATATTTTGAGACTTTAATATCATTAATTTTGAGACATTAATATTATTAATTTTGACCTTATTGAGACCTTAATATTATTAATTTTACAGAGTTTATCCTACATTTTATGAACTTGAGCAGTTGGTTTAAGAGGTAGGGGCCAAACATGAGTCCCAGTAGGAGTGGGAAAGATGTTTCCCATGTCCCATATATGTGTATATGTGTGTGTGCTCCCATTATTGGACAGCTATTTAGAAATATACATATACTTTTTCCATTATTGTGTTGTACCGACCCAAGCATACAAAGTCAAACACCAAGAAAAAAGTATGCCAAATTGCAGGGTCTTTATTGCCAGCAGCCATGGAGGACTCGCATCTCTCCAGCCTGTGGCCCTGAAAGGAGGGTGTCAAGACCTTTTATATCCATAAAACCACCTCAGGAGTGAGGGTGAGGGGCAGGGTTGGGGGTAAGGGGCTAAGACATTCTGAGGGCTAGTGGATTCTGTAAATTACCTGTAGGGCAAGATGAGGGTGTGGGGCTCCAGACGTTCCAGAGGATTCCTGGCCAGAAATGAGGGTGTCAGGCTCTGGACACTCTGAGGGCCAGGGAACTTTTGACATTCTGATTGTTACTTAAGTGTTTTACCAAAGTCAAGATTAGCATTTGTTTACACATTGTCTGGGTAGGGTGGAAATTACAGTCCTTAATTACTTATTACAAGTCGCAGGGACCAAGATAGCATGGGTTTGGACTGCTTGCCTGTCACATTTGGGTTGCAGAGAGCAGTTTCAACAGAAAGGCAAGATGTGGTTGAGGTATGCAGGTTTATGGGGCTTTTACCATGTCACATTCCCTCCTTGTTTTATTTACAGGAATTAAATCGGTTCCTCCAACAGGTTAGCATTGTTTGTTGGTTCTAGGGGCCCATACTGAGACCTTAATATCATTAATTTTACAGAGTCTACCCTAGATTTTATGAACCTCAGCAGTTAGTTTAGGAGGCAGGAGCCAAACATGAGTCCCAGTAGGAGTGGGAAAGATGTTTCTCATGTCCCATCCACACATATATACTCTGAGACTGCAGGTTCGCTCCTTTGTCCATCTACCATCGAGGTAGTTACAGTTATCTTGAGTGGATCACAAGACCCAGCGTAGCATGGGGATGGGACAGTCTTGGTTATAAGAGATGAAGGAATCTATGTTTTTGGTGTACCCTGATATAGTGGAGATAGTTTCACAACCCCAATGAGGGCAGAATAATTCATTTAAGTCTCCACACTTCCATATTTTTTGTGGGGTTTATCCCAGGCACAGATATAATCCCATGGTCTGGAGTTGCTGCTCTGCCCCTGAACTGCCATACCCGGCTACACCTCCACATGTTCTGAAATTTAGGTTGGGGGCAGGAGGGCACAGGGGTCTAGGGAGAAGGTAATGGAGTTCTTTAGAATGTACTCCAGGGTTAGTTGACCTGGAAGGTGAATCTCTTCCTGGTTAAGGAACTAACATATCCTCCAGTGGAGCCCTTGGTGAGGACCCATTGATAGTAGGTGAGTTCCGGGGTGGGGGGGGGTTGCTATAGTGATTTACAGCACAGATTACGGTGGTGAGGGTGATGACCATGAAGAGCACACAAGTCTTAGCTTTAGTGAATCGGGGAATGAGTGTTTGATGCTCCATTGTCCTTCCAGTGGGGCACTGTTAACCTGGGTGTGATGAATCCAGGCCATTTGTCCATTCACCTTGAGTGCAGTGGATTTGGTCAGTATAACCGTGTAGGGTACCTTCCAATAAAGCGGGGGTGGGGGCGGGGAGTGAGGTTGGAGGTGGCAAATTTTTTAACAAGGACAGAATTTCCTGGCTGGAAGGCGTGTGTTGGCTGCTCTGTGAGGTCCAATGGGGTGCGACGGGTGTCCTTAATGAGCTGATGTGCCTGTAATTGAACAGACTGGAGAGCCTGTAAGGACTGAAGGAGTGTATATTTATGGATTTCAGCATGCATGGCCTCCATGGGTTTGGGAAGTAAGGGAAGGAGCCTGCCAAACATGATATCAAAAGGGGAGAAGTCTTTTTGATAGGGTGTGCTTCAGATGCGGAGCAGGACAAAAGGAAGCAGGCTGACCCAGGTTTCACCAGTCTTTAGGATAAACTTTGTCAGAGTTTCTATTAAGGGCCAATTTATTCATTTGACTTGCCCTGATCTCTGGGGAAGATAGGCATGTGCAATTTCCAGGAT